TTCGAAGCCCTCAATTCGCTGTGCGCTTCGTCCCAGCATCTGCCCGCCCACCCGCTCCGCCAGCACGCAGGAAGGTGTGCAACTTCTGAGCATCCCAGAAAGCTGGTGATCAAAGGGTGGACTCCGTGTCGCGGTAGGCTTTCACACAAACCACGAGGAAGCCTTGCGTATTTCCCGCGTGTATCAACAGCACGTTATTTCTACAAGGCAAACACACACGTTGGTAGGCTCCTTGCCCTTCTTCCAGGGGAACCCGGGACTGCATGGATGAAATGGGGAAGGCTAAAGGGAGGGAGCCTTTGAGAAGGGAGGAAGTCTGAAAGTAAATGGAGACTCCGGGGGAAATGGACGACCAGCTTTAACAATGAAATAGACCCAGGGCATATACTTGGTGTGCGGGAAATTGTGATGCAGCACGAGCATGAACAGTTCAAGATGAATTTTATATCCCACTTTGCTAGAGAGACTGCTCAAAGCAGCAAATAAACCATTTTAAACATCATCCTGTGCCATCAAGTCAATTCTGATTTATGGCAACCCTTTTTGGGCTGTTCCAGGTAAAAGATACTTACTCAGAAGTGCTTCACCATTTCCTTCCTCTGAGGGGCCTCCTGGGACTGTGCAGCTTGCCCAAGGCCACACAGGCTGGCTCTACTGGCAGGGGGGGAGTCAAACCCCTGACCTCTTTCTAAAACACTGAGCTGTACAACCAGCAAACTTTAGCCAACACTTCTAAGTCATTCAAGTGTTTAACGCAAGATATGCTTTCTTGGTAACTTGGCAGGCAGGTACTTGCAGGAGCAACTGAGAATGCTTTGTTAATTGTGAAGGTAGGTGACAGAGGCAGGGGGTAATGCAGTGAGTGCAAAGCACATAAAGACCTGGAGTGGCTGCCTTAGCCACAAAGGTCTCTTGGGGGCCACAGCTGGTGCTTAGCCCTAGAACTTTGTCTTTTTGACTGTAGGCCAAACCATTCAGTCCCGGCATGTCTCTGTTCAGGCACAAACTTCCTTTCTACAGGGAGATAGCTGCTTGTCTCCAGCTGGAGCCCTACCATCAGAGCTTGGAGCAATTACTTGGTTCACCAACAACTCCCACAATGCCCAGGTAGTACTAATTAATTTGGGGGGAGGGGCAGTTGTCATCCAAAAAAGTAAATCTTCATAGTTCTGCCTAGCAGACAGGAACCATTTGAACGGGAAGACATAACAGGACAAAAACGAAATCCTCCATGTCATGAAGGCCTCCAGAGCAGATGAGGGTGAAGGGAGTCCAAGGGAGAAAATGCTACTGAAAACCACCTGGAATCCAGGTGGACAATTCTACTGAGCAATTCAGAAACAGTGTGCTTCTTCCTTCATGGGTTCGTTGTGCAGGACTGACTCAAGTCATTGTTATTGCCTGAGGAATAGCAATGGTGCCTTCCCCACCCTGCTCAACACCATCCAAATTATTTAGGTCAACAGAGCAGGAAATCCTAGAAGCATCTCTCCTCAATCGTGGTGGTAAAAATGGAGTAACACCATCGGAAGTACGGGGAGTTTGCTGCCCTTTCACAACACCCAAAAGCTGCTCCTTGAGGGAACCACCTTGCTCTGCCTAAGGCTAGGGGTAGTCCTTGTCATTATGACTTGAAATGACTGATAACAAAAGAGTAGGAGGGGGAGGGAAGTAAAGTTCTTTTTCCTGACAATGCATGATTAATTGGTGGATTTCATTGCCACAAATACAATGATAATGGCAGCTGATGAGATAGGTCTTATCAATATTGAGCATAACAACTACATGGGACTTCCAGAGGCAGGAGCAGTGTATGTTTCTGAACAGCAGAGCCTGGAGGCAAAGAGCGAGGGACACCTGCTGTCTTCACGCCCTAGATTGGAGCATCCTGAAGACTTTCAGATTGCTGCACAAAGGATGCCTAGACATTTGGCATTTGGAAAAGCTACTTGTGGAACTACTGTATATCTATATCTCAACTTCTCAAAGTTTTAGACTACCTGTTTGAGCAGCAGGTGGTGCTTCTTAAGTAATCGAGGCAGCAGGGAAAGAAGGGGGAAAACATGTTTCCAAATTCTGATACATTGATAAAACACAATGAAATTCAAATAAAGGGAAATAAACAGCAAAATAAACAGCTGCTGCAGAGCTATGAGTATGGACGAGACAGGATCAGCTTCTACTCAAGCTTTATTTTAGGTCCATGAAAAATGGAGATTCTCAGATACTCAAGCAAAGAATTATACTCCTTTACATCCACCCCATAGGAGAGCAACCATGTCATAGTTAAATGTACTCCTCTTGCATTTAAATCATAGTCCTGTCAACAAGGCAGGGACACCAGAGATTGCCCCATATCAACTGCCTGGTTGCTAGAGGCACAAACAGTTGTCACAGACCAGTCCAAAAAGCAACACAATGTTTGTGAGGTTATCTTGGCAGGATAATTGATGCTGGCGTAGTCCCTTTCAGAAGCAATCCTGTTAGCATAGACACAAGAAAGGACTATGTCAGAAAGCAGTGGCTAGCCAAGCCTATGTTTTGTCAGGATAATCCCCAAAACAGCATGTAATAAGAATTCAAGAACTCATAGAATGGTACAATTCAGAGAGAATTCATTTGGAATGAATTTTAGAATAGCTCTTTGGACAACTGGTACTCTCAAAAATGACACCGGCAGGCCTGCCCATTCCATCGGGCAGGGGAGCCCCAAGACATTTTCGTATCTGAGGCAAAGGATAAAATGGCACCTCTCCTACTCCTAGTTACACTATTGAAAGGCTAGCATCTTTTATCACATCTGGCAGCAGCTGAGCATTCAGCTCCTTCTAACACTTTGGGGCTGCTTCCTAGCATCTATTAGCTGAGGCAACTGCCTTACATGTCCTAATGGGAGGGCCAGCTCTGCCATTGGGCAGGATGAGGCAGCTGCTTAAAGTAATACATCCTGACCCCTTACTCGGGTCTGTCTTAAGACATTTTGCTTTCTGAAGTGGAGAACAAATGGCCCCATTCGCTATACCAACCCAGACAAGTTATTTTGACACCTGGGACAATCAATCAATCAATCCCATGTGTTCATCTCCTTGAGTGCATAAATGCCACAATAATGTTCAAAGAACTAACAATCTGCTACTTTGTTTTTTGCAACACTCCATCTCTGCTGCGCGAGGCACTCTGTCTAAGGGTAGAGAAGGCCTTGTTACCAACCATTCCCCTCTGTTGGAAAGCAGAGTTGTCTGTATGTCTTGTACTCAAACACGAAGTTGCAGCCTTCAGCTCCTGATCACAAATTCCAGCTGCCTGCCCAATTTGCTTCTGTACATGGAATGGGGGGCGGGGGGCGGACAGGCAGGAGAGGAACCTTCTCTTCCTTTGCCTCAAGCGGCAAAAACATCTTAGGCTAAGTGCTGAGTTGAACTTAAACTATTATGCATAGAGGCGAGGAGGATGTCTGTCTTTGTGGATTGCAGCAGGCAGTGTAAGCTCACCACAGCAAGTGAGAGACATTTAAAGGATTAGAGTAAAAGAACAGGACCTTCAGATGAGGAAAAACATGGCTCTAAACAAATAAATAACCCCAGTGTCCATTATCTTCGCTAAGTCCCATTATCCGCTTACCTTTTCCTCTCTCCCTCCCAAATTCAAGCAAACTAAGTCAGCTGCAGAGGGAGGGGGGGAAATAATACTGCAGTGCCGCAAACAACCTATGAAACCATGATGGTGCCCCCACAGTAATTTTCTCTCTTGTCTCCTGCTCTCTGGAGTTGAGCTCAAGGGACAGAAACCAGGCCAGCAAGAGGGGTGAAAGCCCTAGAAGGTTTCACATGCAGCACACTTTCTGTTTGAGAGGTAACTCTATCTGCCCACAGATAAGACCAAATGTTGCAGCTTCACTAACTCCAATTAGAATCAGAAGGGTTGGAGATGGGTAGAAACGTTGGAGGTACTCTTGCATGTAAATATGGGTTTACTAGTGACTTCAAACAAACAAACAAACGAACAAACACAAACAAAGTCTTGCATGTAAATATGGGCTTACTAGTGACTTCAAACAAACAAACGAACAAACACAAACAAACAAATGCCAGCCCAGATCTACATCTCAGAGAGGGAAAAGGTTACTTTTAGGGAATGCAACCCTCAGAATACTCCAACCAGCATGACCACTGGTTAGGCTAGCTGGAATAGTTTTGCTCCAACAAGTAAATTTTTCTATTTTGGTTTCTATTCTCTGTTTATCCTTGTCTTATGTGATTTACCATCAAGTCACATCAGATAAATAGTAACTCTAATGGGTTTTCACCTATGTGAGATATTTAAGGTTTCACCATTGCTACACCTCAGTGAGATCCCGGGGTCAACCTGGGATTTGAACCCAGGTCTCCTGAATCCCAGCTTCTCTGCCTGTCCATTACACCACACTGGTTTTCTATCCAATCCTAAATTAATTCAGAATTTATATAAACTCATTTATCTTCTATATCTAGCTTTTTGCCAGCTTCTACAACACCACAAGATCTGTGTGCCACGTTGAAGACTAACATATTTATTGTGCTTAAGCTGTAGCCCACAAAAATTAGGCCACAATAAATCTGTTGGTCTTTAAGGTGCCCCAAGATTGGTGTTTTCTCTTTGTAACACTCTGTAAAGTATTCCCTCCAAGCTGAGTGTGACTATCTGAATGCCTTGTGTGTTACCCAAATGATTATTCTTTGTTTTCAGAGCCAAACTCTTTCTGCTAATAAATTTGAGATATTGGGGAGGGAAGAACTACTGGAAAGAACTAAATTTGTAATAATTTTTGTTTGCAAAGCATATAGACATGAAGATAGAGTTTTGCAAAATTCAGTGTTATTGATTTAAAAACCAACCCCTGTCAAGTCAGCTTGGGCATTCTGAGTTCATCCAAAGTGTTTTGTTGTCTATAATGATCCCTGAAACTCCAGAGAAGATGACTTACCAGCTGGATGCTGTCTCTGTTGCTCCTTAAGAGTTAGGAGTAGGCTTGGACCCCAGTTTAAAAAAAAATGATAAATTTATTTAAACCTCCATTATTAGGGCTGGGATAGGATAGGAGAGGACCCTTCTGCTTAAAAAATGTAAAGTAATGTTGGATCCCTAACTTTTTCATTCCAATTTATAGGAGGATAAACCTTTTTAAAATGAATTTTCTCTCTGGAGAAAGATGTAGTAGAGCAGTGGTTTTTAACCTTTGTTACGCGGATGTTTTTGAACTGCAACTCCCAGAAACCCCAGCCAGCACAGTTGGTGGTGAAGGCTTCTGGGAGTTGCAGTCCAAAACTCCTGAGTAACCCAAGGTTAAGAACCAGTGTAGTAGAGAAGCACCATTTATTGAAAACCTGGTAATGATATTAGAACATCTTCTCCAAAAGGGTCTTCTACTCCATTTCTGAATTGGTTTCACTACACACCACTTAACTGGCTTTGCTTGGTGCCCCACTTATCGAACTTCCAGGCAGATGACTAAAATCATCTTTTTGCTTCCAAGAGGTTTTGAGAAGTTGTGTGCATATATGCACATGTCTAAGTGCAGCCTTATTTATTTCTTCTCCTTCTATTTCAGGGGTTGGATTTACCCCCCCCCCCCCATATTAGTCAGGAAGGCTTCTCAGTGGTGGCACCATAATTGTGGAATGCTCTCTCCAGCGAGGCTTGCTTGTCACCAGGTGAAGGCTTTTATTATTTTTCAAGGCTCTCCAATCCTGAAATAAAATAGATGTACAGTACTACACTTTAGATCTCACCCAATTATTACTTGTTGCTGTGTTGGCTTTATGCTGTAATCATATTATAAATCATTGAAATATCTTTTTTAAAAGAAAAAATTATAATATTATGCACGGCTTAGTATGCTCCAGATAGTTTACAAACAAATCCAGCAGACTATAATGTGCCTCATTTCATCAGATCACTGAAATATCTTTTTTTAAAGAAAAAATTATAATATTATGCATGGCTTAGTATGCTCCAGATATTTTACAAACAAATCCAGTATCCCAGCTAGAGCACAGCAGACTATAATGTGCCTCATTTCATCAACCCTTACAGGCATTAAAATTCACTGCGTCTGCTCTATGTGGGACTACAATATGAATTTAACCCTTCTTCTCAATGACTTTCACTAATCAAGCCAGATGACTGTTGTCAGGGGTAATGGGAGTTGCAGTCTGAGACATCCAGAAGGCACCATGTTGGAGAAGACAGAAATGTGACTACCCAAGCCTCCAGTGCCATATTGTGGGAAGCAGGTTATAATGATGACCACATCTGGAGCTTTTTAAGTATGAATTCTTGGTTTTGGCATCAATCTTGTAAACACTACAAAGTTTACATGGGTTAACTATAGAATGATTTCCTTCTTTTGTTATAGGATAAGTATTTTTAAAACTCTACTTTGTGACACAAAAAGAATAATCACCTTTACCTTGAGGACAAGGTTTAGTAATTGCATATGAAAGAAGCAATCACCTAGAATTATTGCCTTAAAAAAGGAAAACAAAGGACATCCACAGCCCAGTTCTCCCAGAGAGCATAATCCTATGCCCCTCTACTCAGAAGTAAATCCCATTGAGTGCAGTGAGGTCTGGTCTCGGGTAACTGCCCAAGGTCTGATGTGCTTTTGAAATATATTGCTTATCTGGTCTTGAAAGCAGTGGTTTGCTTTGTATGGCAAATCTCTGTAGAGTAAAACAGAAAGAAAACTAAAAGGAAACTACTGTACAGTACACAAGCTTTTAGTCTGCTGGAAAGCAAATGAAATATAAGAAAGAGGGAGATATCCCACAACTAAAACAAGAATCACCATTTCCTAGATATGGGGGTTCAAGAGCAAAGGAAAAATTTATTACCTCGGGAATTGATGAGCACTCTAGAGCTGAAGGCATTCATGAAAAAATTGGACAACCATCTGTCAGATCTGCTTTGATTTGGATTCCTGCACTGAGCAGGGGGTTGGACTCAATGGCCTTATAGGTCCCTTCCAACTCAATGATTCTATGATTCATAACACAACAGTTTTAGAGTAAGAAGACAGAAACTAAAACATTGTACTTGGATACATCCATCATTTGTGTGTGTGTGTGAGTGTGTGTGTGTGTGTAGATAGATAGATAGATAGATAGATAGATAGATAGATAGATAGATAGATAGATAGATAGATAGATAGATAGATAGATAGACAGATAGATAGATAGATAGATAGATAGATAGATAGATAGAGAGTTTTGTAATGTATCCATTCGAATCCACCCCTCCAAGGGTACCCCTATCCCAGCTGCCCCTTATCTTACCTTACCTTTATAAGGAAAATTATATTTCATATGAAATATAATTTTCCTTATAAAGGTAAGGTAAGGTAAGGGGTGGATTCGAATGAATACATTACAAAACAATATTTTTCATAGTATTTCTATGCATTCTCTTCTAGTAATAGTTCAACATACATATCAGAAAGAAATATAAACAGTGAGCGAGAGGGAAAAATCAAATTCAGACAGATATATTGTTATTCTAATTATTTATTATGTAGCTGATAGTCTTTATCCATCATTTATTCTGTCTCTTCTGCAGCCATACAGATAACTATGTATCAGTCAACTATTCTATCTACCTTGCAACCATGTATATAATTGTGACCAAATTTTCTGATGGTCTTTTTTCTTTTTTGTATCTAGCCAACCTGATAGTATGTCCATTTCTGCAGTTTCAAGGATTTTATCTCTCGCTTCATCTATTTGCGGTGTTCTAGGTTCCTTCCAGTGTTTCGCAAAAACTATTCTTGCTTCTGTTATAATATGAATAGTTAAAATATGATTTTTCAGAGTCTAGTATATCTAGCTAGTATATTTAATAGGAATAGTTCTGGTACCATTGGTATTGAAGTTTCTAATATCTCTTGTAGCATCTGATTCACTTTACTCCAATATCTTTATTAAAGATACAGGAAGGGGCTTTCAAGGGGATCCAGAAAATACCCAATTAACTGTTCTGATTTTGCAAAGCCCACCACCATATTGCTGTGGGATATCTGCATAAAATTAAAGAAACTTCAGTTCCCTCTTTGGCTGCTGTCTGTGCCCACTTGCCTAGAAGTCTGTCCCATTGAACTTGTATGAGACGTAGTCTGAGTCAAGGTTCAGAAAATTGAGCTACATAACATGAAAAACAAAGGCTAACTTTTTTTGCAGTTCCCAACTTTGCAGTTCCCCACACTTGGCCACTTTCAGTGCTCCCAAGTCAGCTTGCCCTGTTCAGCAACATGGACCAGTGCTGCTCTTGGAGCAAATGTTACCCTTCACTAACAAACACAAGATTGTCAGGGCAGTTCTTAACACTAAGGAAGAGATTCTCTCTCCCCAGCACATATTTTTAAAAAGGGAGAGGGTAGCTTACCTTTCATGAGGATCTGCAGGTTAAAATCGCTGAATAGGTGAATGGCAGCATGCTTATGGGTGAAGGAATGAAAATCAAGTAATGGCAAGCTACCCCTGCAGAAGGAGGGAGGGAGACAGAGCAGTTAATCTATCTAGCTATCTCAGATGAGGTGTGGGGCCCTTCACACCTGTACAAAAAGCACAAACACAGTGGGGTCAGAAGGAGGGGGTGCAAAGCAGAGGGAGGCCTTCTGTGATCAGGATGGACATTAACTCTTCTGTTTGACAGATAAATGCTCCAGCAAAGAATGTTCCCACCACTCCTACCCCAGTCCAGAATGAGTGACAGCTGCTAATTCAGTGTAAATGGCCAGTGATTGCTCAGGATGCCCTCACCCAAAGGCACACACAAGGCCTTATCTTATCAGAGCCAGTAATTGCAATTGCTATTTTGTTTCCTCAAATCAGCAATCAGTGTTTTTTTGCCACCAGAACAGCTTCTGTCAGCCTGAGCCATGAGTGACAGATTATAAAGGCCCTGTGCTTGCCCCCCCATCTGATGCACTGTACAGTATGCGTGTGCATATACACACGTGGTCAACAAGGACAGCAGCACCTCCTTCAACGTTGCTTTCTTCTTTCCTCCTCCATCCTAAATAAACTGTGATTCACACTATCCCATTAGTTCCTCCATCCAAAAAATTAAATTAAGAAATTGATAACTGGACATGTTTGTCAGAGGCAGGGTGATGGCCACATTAGTCTGCTACAGAATAAACAAATAAATAATTTGTATCAAATATCTCATGTGCGTAAAATTGAATCTGGCCAGGAAATCCCTGTCTAACCCCCCCCCCTTCAGCAAAGCCTATTTCTTCAAGACCCTCCCACCCATAACATTTCCTTTGGGGCCGTGGCAGTTGTCATGACATGCATCTATGCTTCAGCATTTACTAGTATTACCACTGCTGACATAACCCACAGGAGAAGGTTAAGCAAAGAGGGCTAGATGGCAGAGGCAACCCTCAAACAATGAGTTGCTCAGGAGCATCCCAGGAGCTGCTGCCCTAAGTCTAGACTGACGAAAGCCAGACATCACTTGTTCTTCTTGTGGATTTAGGGCTTTGCTCCTGGCAAGTCATGATGTCCTCACTATCTGGCCCTTCAACCCTGAACTGAACACATTTTGCAGGGCACTGACCATGCTGGGAGGGGATGGGATTCACCCCCACCCCCAAAAAATGAATGTTTCTTGCCTCTGTGAAAATATAGAATTTCAGATTATAACTCCCAGAATCCCCAGCCAGCATGGTCACTAGCCTCTTGGAGTTTAAAAAGAGAGAGAGAGAATGAGAGAGAGAGATGTTTCCAAGCTCTGCCCCTCTCTGCTGTGACTCCTGGGCTTTTGGGTCTCATCACAAAGTCCTGGTTAGCCTCCACTAGCTGAAATTAATACAAGAAGGTGTTTCACTAACTACTAAGGTATCTTATTAGATGGAAAGTGTTCCAATTCATATTTGTGACACACAGAAACAACAAAGATGTGAACACAAATTTAGAGATACAAAGTAGAGGTGCAGAATCAGGCCCTACAGATGCTGCTGGACTTCACCTTCTATCAGGCCAGTCAACAAAGCCCATGGAAATGGATTATCGGAGCTGGAGTCCAGCAGTATTTGGGGAATTGCAGTTTTTCTATCACTCTGCTCAAGTTAATTTGTAATTCTTGGCCAGTGTTGTGGCCTCGTAATATAGGTATGTTGAACCTTCACTCTATTTTGTGCTTCCTTGACAAGTTATAAGGACTTTCCATGTTCTCTGTTTCCTTCAGCATGTGTATATGAATTCTTATACATGCACTTCCTGAGCATACAGATCGTTGTTTACAGTGGACCCTCAACTTACAAAATTAATCCATATTGGAACGGTGGCTGCAGGTCGAAAAGTCTGTAGGTCAAGGCTCTATTGACCTACAATGCATTGAAAACCGATTAATCCGTAACCGGCCTTTTTAAAATTTCCATTTTGGTTTTCTTTTCTGGTCTGTAGGTCAATTCTCCGGCTGCAAGTCGAACCTAAATTTTGCAGCCAGAGAAGTCTGTAACTCGAAAAGTCTGTAAGTGGAGCTGTCGAAGGTCTACTGTATATGGGATGTAAATTCACATTAATTATTGTAAGTGATTTGCTGAAAACCCTGAATTTTTGCAGGCAAACCATTCAATATAAATCTGGGAAAGTCAGCCTTCAAATTAAGACTGCCCACTTCCTTCCTTTGCACATCTCCTATGTTTTTAACAGGCTTGTGTCACACCGTACCTCACAGGTGATGATTGGTCAGACATGGAGATGGGCTTCACATAGTGAATTTCTGCTCTTCTACCAAAAGCACAGGAATATGACAAAAAATGGTTGGTTCTGTTTTATCTGACTTACTGCAGTTTAGCTCAGTTGCCAGCAACCGTCTCTTCTCTTCCAACTCCCTGTTTCTTCTATCAGGCTCTGAAGAAAAGGGCCAGCCCTATTAGGAGGCAGCGTGAGGAAGAAATGGGAGGGGGGCAGTGGCAGTAGTGGCACCTTCCTCTTGGGAAATCCTCTGGAGCAATCTCTCCTTTGTTGTTGTTTAGTCGTTTAGTCATGACTCTTCGTGACCCCATGCACACCAGGCCCACCTGGCTTCCGCTGCCTCCCAGAGTTGGTTCAAATTCATGTTGGTCGCTTCGATGACACTGTCCAGCCATCTCGTCCTCTGTCATCCCCTTCTCCCCTTGCCTTCACACTTTCCTAACATCAAGGTCTTTTCCAGGGAGTCTTCTCTTCTCATGAGATGGCCAAAATATTGGGGCCTCAGCTTCAGGATCTGTCCTTCCACCTGGCTTCCGCTGCCTCCCAGAGTTGGTTCAAATTCATGTTGGTCGCTTCGATGACACTGTCCAGCCATCTCGTCCTCTGTCATCCCCTTCTCCCCTTGCCTTCACACTTTCCTAACATCAAGGTCTTTTCCAGGGAGTCTTCTCTTCTCATGAGATGGCCAAAATATTGGGGCCTCAGCTTCAGGATCTGTCCTTCCAGTGAGCACTCAGGGGTGATTTCCTTCAAAATGGATAGGTTTGATCTTCTTGTAGTCCAGGGGACTCTCAAGAGCCTCCTTCAGCACCACAATGTAGAAGCATCAATTCTTCGGCAGTCAGCTTTCTTTATGGTCCAGCTCTCACTTCCATACATCCCTACAGGAAAAACCATAGCTTTGACTATGCGTACTTTTGTTGGCAAGGCGATGTCTCTGCTTTTTAAGATGCTGTCTAGGTTTGTCGTTGCTTTCCTCCCAAGAAGCAGGTGTCTTTTAATTTTGTGGCTGCTCTCCCCATCTGCAGTGATCATGGAGCCCAAGAAAATAAAATCTGTCACTGCTTCCATAAGAATCTCTCCTTAGCCACACCCATTGGTTGAAAGAAAGAGCTCTTGATCCCATAAGGCCTGCATTGCCTACACTAGTCTATAGACCTCAGTTCCAGAAGACACTGTCATGTCATCAGTTCTGAAGCAACGAAGCTGTACCAGTTCACTTCTTTACACCATGTGGTGGTGGTGGAATACCCTTTTGTCAATTGCCTCAGACAGAATAATATATTGGGTCAATCCTGCTGGAGAGAAAAGGGGCAGTGGTTCCTTGAGACACAGGCTAACAAATATACTACTTCATGTTACCCCACAACTAGCTTCAGTCAGAACTTCTGGAGCTTGGAAAAATTATTTTTGGACTAAGGTCGCCAGAATGTTCCAGTCAGAATGGCTAGGATACACAGAAGAAGACAGACATTTTGGCATTTAAAGTCTAACTGCTATATTTCAAAGTACTGTCAGCCTTTGTGGAACATTGTCTACTGTATATCTTTGTCTGAAGGAGTGGACTATGCTCCATGAACGTTTATATTAAAATATAGCAGTTAGTCTTTACAGTGTCATAACACCTCTTTTTTTGGCTCATGCTTTGTTTTTTATTTCTTGTTGAAATGTTTGCACAGATTAACATGGCTACAATTTTTAAAAAACTAGGATATACAGGGAATTTTAGTCCCCCCCCCTAAAAAAAAAAAACGTTTACAAGCTTTGAAAACTCTCAGATGCACAACTTGCTAGATTCTCTGGAAAGAAACAGTCCCTAAGAATCACATTCCTGCCTTAATTATCTTGATGAATTGGCATGCAAGAGGACTTTTCAAGAAACATTGCTGCATTTATTTAATTTAAACAGCTACATTATCATAGGTAGTACTAAACCTTTAGAGACCCTTGGCAGATGAGATAATTTTACAGACCAAAGTGTGGAAGAATAATAATTTTGGGGTTATAATTCCAAGAATTTCTCAGCCAGAGGCTCTGCACCACCCTCGTCTTTGATATGCAAGGCATTCTTGTAAATTCAGCCTATGACCACAAGGTGGTACTCGTATCACTCTATAAAATGACAGCATGCAAACTCCAAGGATGAGCTGAAAAAAATAGACTAGGTACCCCACTCACCCCTGCCGTAAACCTGCTTGCTTTGCCAGTTCATTTAGAAAACCATTAGTACTGTTTCTACACTATATTTTGTCCAGAGCCAATTTGTATCCATTTGTTCTTTCAAGTCATTTCCTTTAAGTTAAGTAATAACTGGTTTTTCTCACACCTTCTTTTTTCAGCATATCTACATAGCTTAGATGTAAGTCATAGAAGTCCTCCATCTCCAAGTCTCCAGGTGAATTGTTTCCTTGACCAAACCCTCACTTTCAGTTCTTATACTCTTAAAAAGTAAGGAGGAGCTATTAGTCTGAACATCAGAAAGGTAGTTTAGTTTCCTCTCGTTGCATCACTTCTGATGCATAAATTAGGACTCTTCCAGATGGAACATTTGTTCCCCATTATGTATCCGATGTGTTGCGGATGTTATTCGTATTTTTCCCTCTACTCATAAAGTTTGTCTCGGTAACAACCGTCACAGAACACATGCCTTCCTATGTGTTTTTTGTCTCTCCTAAGGGCATGGTTTATTTTGTTCTGAGGTTTGTTCTGGAAGAGTGGGGTGGCACTTTCTTTTAGTGTTTATTCCCACATCAAGAGTTTCCTGGTTGGGA